AAATGACTATCATTCTTACCTTTCTTCGAGTATATCTCAAAGACTACTTGGTTTTAGAGTAATCTATTGATAGATCCTTGTGTGTTATGGAGAATACTATCCACATACGAAATTTGAGATGATTTTGTGTTGATTTGATTAAATTATGGCCATTTGGTTCCTCGATGATGTCGTCCACTGTGAGTTCGTCCCTGTTGATGGACAACCCAATAAACCATGTCAAGTAAGTCGGTCAATGTCCTCTTCACATTGAAGTCATGCTGTAGCGCGTCAATAGCAATATCATAGGACGCACCATCGACTTGACTACTTTTGACAGCTTGTCCTTCTTCGAATGCGGCAGAGTGAAGCAATTGTCGCCACCAACCTTCAATGCTTCCTCCATGACGCTTTGTAATGCTATGAAGGTCTTGTTCAGCGCAACATGATTGAGGTCATTGAATCTACCTCGACGGCAGACACAAGCTCGTCGATTGAGCTAGCCAACGTTCGATGCTGCAAACATAGGAGAAATCAAGATTCAGGACATTGAAGTCCAGACTTATGGGGGGGCTGCAGCACAAGCTGAAAGTTCCACATACAGTGATCCCCCGATTTTTGCAACCAGGTATAAACTAATAACTTATCTGTATTAATTTCAACAGGAACAGAGAGAATCGATAAATATGAAATTCAAACCATGCAGCCAATCCGGCGCCACAATAATCGGCACCACGCAGCATTCACAGCCACAGATGAAGGACATTTTATTTTGCCATGCCAGCGCCACCGAAGCGACTCACACTCAGCCAGATGGACATAGTCAGGGCATACTACAGCAACTCGACTGATGGATACATGCGCGTGGGACTTGCACGAGTTTGGCATCACGTTGAATCGATCTAAGGTGAGCCGCATTCTCCAGTGCACCCGCGACTGCTCAGAAGCCAACATAGAACAACTTACGCAAATACTAGAGGAACTCATCACAAACGATGGTTCATTCGTTTTCAGCGGCCTCGGCTCGAGCAATTTGAATAAGTACAAGATAATCAACTCATCTCACACCATCATAATTGCAACGATCAGCGGATCAAATCGCGTTGATGTCAGGCGTCGACAAGAATCCAGCATTCAAAAAATTGACAGAATTGTAGTGTACCACATACCTACATTAATGATACAGAAGAGCGACTAACGCGGACGTGAAAAAATTGCATTTTGGGCCGCTGCAGAGCCCCTTAAATACGATACATGACAATGAACCCGCAATAACTCACGCTGTATTCTAAATTTCACTTTGCACAATACTTCGCTCAAAGGCATTAAGACTCCCCCAAACTTACCTGGTGCTTCCGTAAGCATCTTCGAAACGTATGCTGAAGAAATTTGCAGCCAAATAAGGATAATTAGGCCCTTGACTGCAGAAAGTGGTCATTGAGAATGGCGCTTCTTCACCTGTCAAGCACTCGGTCATGGAAACTTTATTTGCTCGAGCCTCGATGGACACCCTTAATAGGATCGCTTTGTTATGAGAAGGGTGGGAATTACGGCGGCGTTCACCCGCAAGTCCGTCCTCAGTCTTGACGTGCGCTTGCTGCAATGTCTTGGCTTTCACGCGAAGGTTCCGTAATTCTTTTGAGCCTACTTTACCTCAAATGTCATGTGAGAATAAATGTGACGAGGCATGTGACCACTTGACGATAAACCTCCATAGATTTATACAATGGCAAAAAACAGAATTCTCTAAACAGAAAGGATATTGTTTTGCACAGTACTTCTGAACTAATCACTCCTTTGGATGCTAAACCGTCGCAAATGTTTTGATACAGATAATTACTTGTGTGAGGAAATTCAGCTGTAAGATAAACTGGGCTCACACGTCACTTCACGTCAAAGGAGAGAAATTACTTTACTCATTCTTCAATTTGCCTGGTCAAGATCATCCGGATAACTTGTTCGGACGACAGCAACCTCACTGCCTCAAGTTCACGGGCTCTGCCGACGTCGTGCCCTATGGGGAGCAGTGTCAAAAGGGCCGCGCGCAGTAGTCATGGGACCGCTTCGGCCTCGACCACTGATTTGCTGCACCGGATACCGGCACTCGTCTCTCTCCATGGGTGTGCAAGGCGTCGCGCGTGAGAACGCGAACAAAGTGAATGCAAGGTTGATGGCAAGCAACAGGTTAGATGCATCACATATCTCAATCTCAAACTCGTTCACTAAGATGGTGTCTAGGCAGCTATTCAATGTCGGCGCCAACATCGATGTCGTCGAAGGTATCAACGACTTCATCATAGCGAACATCATGGATGTCCATTTGTTGCAGGAGCGAGGCAATTTCATCAGTTTCTAGGCGGTTGTTGTTGGCGTTTAGTACTGCTTCGCTGGGTACGTACTTCTCAACATCGATCAAGCTGCATTTGACAAACCCACGGACGATTGTAGCCTTTGGAAGGGCCCCCAAGCTTCGTTTACCCACTCAACCAAGTCGAATCGCGACGGAGTTGAAAGGTGCCTTCGTCATTTTTGTGGTTTTCGATTTCATGCCGCAAGGAGGTCACCCAGCACTCGCGCTTTGCAGCTTTAATTGGTTTCTTCCACGCAACATCCGCTGGCTGGCACATCCAGGTAAATGTTGGCGGAATCTTTTCCAGGATGACATTCATTGTTGCTGCACAGGCAACCACTTCGTCACAAAAAGAGCACTAAAATCGTCCAAAGGA